CCTGTCTGTGTTGTTTCTCAGTCCCACACAGAATCCCTCTTCTCCCTCCTCCTTGGGAATAGATCCAGCAATGTTTAGGTCTCTGGGCTCTGCAGGTTTAGAAATAGGCAGGGGTTTAACACTGGAGCTGGGTGTGCATCACAATTCCCCTCACCTCGCCAGATGTCTGCCTCCCCCAAGGGGTCTCAGTGACCATGTTCCCGTCCTCTTAGATTCCACATTCCCCAGCACAGCACAGGGACAGGTTCCGCTCACGGAATGTCCTTTCTGACAGACGCTCTCTCAGTCCTCCACACACCCTGATCTGGTCTGATTTCACTCCCTGCACAGGATTTCCCATTCCCAAACCTGACCTGATCACCCGGCTGGAACGAGGGGAAGAGCCGTGGGTACCCGATCTCCAGGTCTGTGAGGAAAGAGAGATCCCGAGAGGCGCCCACACAGGTGAGGACTGACGCACAAACCATCTGGGGAATGAAGGAAAAAGTTGAGAATCCCAAAAATGTGATCTCAATAAGTGCCCTCAGTTCTTCCTCATCTCACGCAGGGCAGGGCTAGAGTCAGCAGATATCACTGACATCGCTTCCCATGTGTCCTGTTAACAGCAGGAGTTTCCTTCCCAACTTTTCTTTTCTGTAAAAGTTTGGGTGGGAAGTTGAGGCAGAATCCAATTGCTCTGTCTGTGCAGCTTTAGTATGTTGGGTTTTCCCTTGGTGCTATTCCTCTTGATTTCTCTCCAGCACAATGACTTCTGTCTGGATTCTCTCTCTCCCAGCAGGTGACGAGACAGTGAGTGAGAACGAGGAGGTGAATCAACAGCAGGATGTTCCTGGGTCTGGGGAATCACAGGGGACCTTTGTGAGAAGAGCTGAAGGGAATTTTCCCCAGTGCTTGGAACAGGGAGAAGCCTGGGGAAATTGGCAGAGGTCAGAGAGGCTGCCGGGAATCCACTCAAAGGAGCAAATGGATGAATCTGTTATATATGTGGAAGGACACAGGAATCCCACAGACCGGCAGAGAACCCCCAAGGAAGACAAACACCATAAATACCTCGGTTCTGTTACGCTTCAAGCAATAAATACTGGAGAGAAAACACTTCAATCGTTGGACTGTGGGGAACACTTCAATAAGGGCTCAGATCTTGCTAACCATGGGAGAAGCCACCCGGGAGAGAGACCCTCTCAGTACCTTGAGGGCAGCAATTGTTTGATTTGCAAGTCAGCGCTCATTAGACATCAGAAAATCCACACAGGGGACAGACCACATAAGTGCTTAGACTGTGGGGAAAGTTTCAGACACAGGTCAACCCTTCTTAAACATCAGGCCATCCAC